TTAAAGAAAAGTAGGAAATTGATCTATAAAGTGAGCAGAACAAACTTGTTCACAGCAAGTGACATAGTTCTTCCTTGGTTCGGATAATCGGCACTCAACGCGGTCTCCGCATCTACTAGGCTGACGCTGCCGTGCGGCTTCCATCTGGCGGATATAATGCTCCTTCAGAATATGCTGTTCCCGAGCTTTGCTAAAATAACTAGGTGATCTGCGACATACAGCTCCCTTTTCGCTAAGCTTCTAACCTGACGTGCTTCTGTATAGTTGTTCGTGGAATTTTGTAGTATCGAGCTGCTTCAGTTACCGTCATAGTGCCAAATATTGCTTGCTTTACGGCATCGCAAAGCACGCTACGAGTGTAATAGCCACGTCTGCTAAATATTAAAAATACAGCAAATATTAGATGGCGAAGATGTGATCCCAAATAGTATGCAGCTATACTCACGCTTTATTGTCCGGCCGAGGAGGAGGAGGAACAGTCGCTTCAAACACGTGAAAAACCATTAATTCTAGGCAAATAGTAGAAAAGTTCAATTATCACTGAGGTACAATCTTTAATTTTCCCACACATGGGTTAACGAATTTGAACTCTTGTTTCATATCTATTTAAGATGTATTCTCAATTTCTTACTCTCTCTAAGACCAAGTCAGGAACTCCAGATTATGCAATGATTTGAGCCTGTTCTTCACTCTGCGCTTTGTTTTATAAGGACGTTTGCTTGAACGGACCAATGCGCGTTTCCTATTTTTACTTTTCCTTAATCTTCTCAACAGTTAGCCACAATTTCAATTTGTTGCTGCTAAGTTTTCGAAATATCTAAATGCGACAGCAAAGTCACTAGAAAAAATATATACATGTAAGAAAGGGATACCCCTCTGCAATCACATTCCTGATACTGCTACTTTAAGTACAAAATGTAAATTGCAACTTGTCTACACCAAGTAATATGTATACACACACTGCCATAAGCAACCATGACTTCCCGTCTTTTAGTAAAATGAGCGCTTCCAAGTTCACCCAAAAAAACTCGTATGTAAATATGCCGAAAATAGTTAAGAAGGTTAAACAACACACATTTGTTCCACTTAATACGTTAATAATAATATGTTTCGGAATAACCAGAATGTAGGTCAAAGTTCAAACAAAATTTTAAGATAGGATGCATTCTTTATTGAAATAAACAAACAGAATGATTTGACACCAAAAGATCATAAACTACACGTACATGAGTAAAACAGAGCAAACAGCACACTACTTTTTATCTGAAAACATAGGAGAAAGGGAAAACTGAAAGAACACTTAGAAAGTCAACCTGATATAAAATTAAAAACCCACATTTTTTATAATTTCAAACCAACATGATTACAAGCTATAAATTCGAACTTTGTTTAAATTTCCCATAAATTCAAAAAGCTAGAAAAATAAGCTCCACCATTATTTGCATTGTGAGAGAATTTCGCTGGTCTTGAAAATCCAGCGGAAAGTTGAACATATCCATTAAGATAATATCCCTCATAAAACAACTGTACAAGAGCGCCCTTCTTGATAAGATTCGATGACATTTATTTTCAAAATACCTGAATAAAATATAACCTTTTTTTGCAAAATGATGTCATGCCGGGCATGAGATTAAAACTGCTGAACGATTGGATGTTGACTCTGACGTATGAATGTATAGAATATACTCAGAGCTCGACCTCTTCGTCATCTAAAATGACAAAACAATCTTCTCCGAGCTCCTCTTCATTGTTGGGTAGATAAGACGGGCAAACACTCTGCAAAATCAGTAAACGGTGAATTGTAAAAGGAAAGAGTACATCAGTCGCACCGACAACAGCCCATTAGCTTTTTCTCCATTGACGGGCTCTGATTTGCGTCGCTTTGCCTCCATAGGAGATCTACTATGGAACTCGCGGGAAGAGCGCTTGATATTCTATAAATTTGAGATAGAGTGTGGTTCAACACACAGCACAAATAAGTATCGCACCTCTTTCTTATCTAAAGATCTCTTTTGCGCGCTAGTACGCGCTAAAATTGCAGCCCTGTATGCTCGGTTTTCCTCCTAAAAATTATACAAACAAACAAAGTGAAATGTTGACAAGAAGAATGAGAATGCAATCTTTTACCTCGGCTGCGGCAAGACGCTGTGCTCTAGCATTCTCATTCCGCTGACGCAACCGCCTACTTGAGATCCCATCATTTGAGCACTCCTGAAGCAAATTTTTTGAACATGCAGATAAACTTAACACGGACGATTCTGATAAATGTGTAAATGTGAGAAAAAGTATATTAGACTGCCGACCAAACCTATTGCTTGAAAATAACGATCGTGCATCAGTTAAACAGACATAACTCATAATCCGAGGGAAGAATACATCAAATGGTAGAGTAAGTGTATACAAGGAACTAATAAAAGACCAAAACCCAATATGGGAAACGTACTGCGGCTTCGTCACGCTCCTCCTCATCGCTGTGGTCGCAGCAATCAGCGCAGTGCCACTCGCAATTTACCTAAAGAACGCTTGCAATATAAGAAACATTCAAAA